CAGCCAGCAGTGAGACCCAGAATTTTCCTGGTTCTTCTAGCTGCTCCTGGGTCTGTGAATCAGGGGTATCGGGCTGTGGAGGTCACTGTGTCCCTGCTCCTTCCTCCTCTTCACACCGTGGAGGCCAGCTCTGTTTTGGCAAGGGACAAGCTACCTAGATTCTTTTTTTTGAGACAGGGTCTAAGTAGTTGAGACTGACCTGGAACTCACTGTGTAGCCCAGGCTGGTCTGGAACTCACAGGGATCCTCCTGCCTCTGCCTCCTGAGTGCTGTACCTAATTTCTAACACCCTCAGACCACAGAAAGTTTGGGTGGGGAGGGGGCTTCCTCTCCATCTGGGCTCTAGATTTCCCATGATAGAGACATGACCATCAGGCCTTGGTCTGCCTGAGTCATAGGGAGCCCCCCTCCCACCCCACCTGGGTGAATGCTGAAATTCCTCAGGCACGGATTTCTTATAATAAGAGTAATGAGAGTTTTCATGGATGTTGAACAGGGGATTCTAATACTTATCGAGGGAGGCTGGAGTGGATGACTCCTGATAGCTTTTGCCAGCCCCGAGTAGTCTGTGATTCTGACGCACCTAGTATTATCCTTAATATGCTGTAATTTAGAATAATGTTTTCAATGCTGTGTGTCATTAATAATGATGGCTGTCATCACCCTGCCTTCCCCATTTGATGTATGATCTGTGTAACTCCACAGTACTCTGCAGGTGAGCTGGCTGAAGTTGACACTTACCATTGACATCCTGGAAAGGAAACTGAGGCTGAGAACAGGCTCCCAGCCCCTCTGCTCCACTGCATAGTCCCTCCACCCGGGAGCCACTGCCCCTGCCTTGGGTGCCTAGGACCACACAGTTCCCCAAAGCCGCCCTCCAGCCAGGCCAGCTTTGTTCTCCCTGCCCCCACCAATCCGCAGGAGCTCCTGGGACAGCTGGGGTCGTTTGTCAGCCCCTGTTTGTCCAGCTGCAAGCTCCTATCTTTCCTGGACCCAAGCAGGACCCAGAGCCACCCACTGCCCAGTGCCAGATCTTAATTCCTCTCTGTCAGATGTGTTGAAATTTTAGAAGTTAAAATCTCGGCTTCTTCCATCCCGAAGTGCCATCTTGGGCTGTGTGGCTCTGGCTGGTCCCTCTGTCCATCTCTTCCTGAACAGTACTTTTCCCCAGGGCTGCACGTTGTCTTGAAAGGAATGAAAACAACTCACCTTTGTATACCCAAAGCTCTAGACTCTGGGGAGGGCATGAGCCTCAAAGGCAGGTGCAGATACGTTCAGCTTCATGGTCTGGATACAGAGCACAGGTGCTGGCACACGGAGGTCAGCAGAGCATGTCAGATGAGCACACGCAACTTGCTCCTCCTCTCTCCTGCTGGGCTCAGTCTCCTGACAGCCTGAGACTAGGGCCTTGGACACGAATCCCACACGGCTCTGCAGCCCTGACCTCCTCCTGGCTCTGCAGGTGATTTCAGAGCCCGGCCCTCCGTGGAGCACTTACCTGGCTCCACCAGCCCCATGCTGGCTGTGTGACCTCAGCCACAGTCAGCCCTTCTCTGCGTGGTGAGTAGTGATACCTAGGTCGCTGTATTGTTTTGATCACAAGTTGAGATCATCTGTAAAGCTCCTAGAAAGTACACGGCACATAGGAAACTCAATAACTGTCAGCTATGATGAGAAGTTTAATTTTGAGGTTCAATATCACCTGAAAATGCCAACTTTATGTTCACCTAATGAAGATGTAGGAAATTCCCATAATTAGTCTAGGTCAATAAGGCAACCAGGCCATCTCCGATGGACAGGAAGACTTGTGTCAAGAAACCCCCACAGAAGTGGGTGGGGAGGGCGTGGCAGAGGACGGGTGGGGGATGCCCTAGAGGGGATTAAGGGATGCAACTGAGAAGTTAAATCCCCTCTTGGCCGTGTTCCTTCTCATATGGTGAGCAAGATTCCTGCTTGGTACTAAGAGGTGGGATCCCTGACAGAAGAGACATCTGTGAGTCTGCATGAGGAAGTAGGAACAGTGCCAGGTCAGCTAACGCAGGTAATGGTGGGTTGGGGGACAGGGGACCTCAGATGTAGTCTAGGGGACTCAAGGCAGAAAAAGCTCCTGCTTGCAAAGCTAGTGTCGCTGCTGAGTGTGCCGGGGTCCCAGGGAACCTGTTAGAGGAGGTGCAGATGCAGGTGGCCATGTGACCATCAACTTACCAGGTGGACATGGGACCAGGGCCCTGGGAAGTTGGCCAGAGGACTGCCCGGCAGTGGGCCAGGAGGCCTTGGGATCCAGACGGACTTGGGGATAGGTGAGCTTCCAGCCCTACTTCCTCATTAGTAGGGGAGGGAGAATCTAACTGCAGGACCCACTGAGCTATCAGAAAGGACCAGATCACACCTCGCCCTTCCTGCTCCTGCCTCCCACTGATAGCGGCTCTGGTCCCCAGCAGCACATTTCGGTGTTGGCTAAAGGGGCCAGAAGATCACGTATCTAGCAAGATGGGGAGAGTAACCGGGGAAGGGCCCGCAGTCTGGGCCTGCTTCCCTGGAGTTGGTGAGGTTCTCGACGCCAGAGATTATCCAGGCTGCAGACAGGGGCAAGGCCACTGCTGTCAGAAGACCCTGTCGGCAGTGATGGGATCACAGGGCAGCTGTAGGTGTGAGGGCCGTTCCCATTTTGAGCTGGGAAGCATGTTGGTTTCCTCCCCTAGAAACTGCAGGGAGGGGAACCCACAGGCCCGTCATAAGCACTGCCTGACTGGGAAGTGAGGATTTTAATTAAAATGATGGAAAGTGAGAAACTACAATCTCTGGTTTAAAGGCTGAAAGCACAGATCGATATTTCCAAACTGGGAAGGGACCGATATTCCTTTTGCATGTAGGGAGAGCAGCTTAGATGGACCTGGTCCCATTACACACAGGTAGCCACTGCCGGTATCTACCTGTGCAAATCCGTCTTGTCACAAAAAGCTTCCCGCTGCCACTGTGTCACCCAGGGGGGCTGGTGTGGGAATCTGGGTGAGATGCCAGAGCTGCACACCCAGGTTCTGACTGCTGCCACAACCGACAGGCTCTTCCATGAAATAAGTCTGTGTTTCTGGCAGTGTTTCCCAGGGATTGCAGGGACAGAGGAAGCCCCACCCTGGTGCCTGCGCCTGGACACCTTCCTCACAGCCGTGTGGAGATGAGAAGACACAGAAGTAGCTAGGCTGTGCAGATGGGATACCAGTGCCCCAGACTCCGGGATGACAGTCCCTACCCACTTTCAAAGTGGGGACTCTGCGGTGACCTTATTCTTACCTGGCTGAAAATGACATCCCTTAAAACAGCAAAAAGATTGCCAAGGTCCCTTAGAATGGCAGCACTGTTGAGTTGGAGAAATGAAAATCATTTCCCTGGAGGGGACCTGCCGGCCAGTCATTATCTAGAGCGAGGGCAGGGAGCTGCGTGGCGTCCCAGTTGTTTCTACTCCGCCGGTGTGGGGGAGCTGGGTGTCGAGGGAGGCTGAGACCCACATGTGCCCCCTCCTGACTGGGACAGGGGTTTTAGCAGGAAGCAGAGGAGATGGGTTTGGTTCTAGACAAGAGCTGGCGTGGGGGTTTTACCTCACAGCCTCTTGTGGCAGAGAGGACCAGATGAGGCTGGATATGCAGGGCTCCTTAGCCAAGGGACCCCTTGGAGGTCACCAAGAGGGGAGGGGCATGAAGCTAAGGTTTTGAAACAAGGCTTCTGTGTGACGGTGGGCAAGTGATTTAACCCCTCTGTGCCTCCATAGCTTCATCTATAAAATGGGCCCAGCGTCTCCCCAGAAATGACGTGGGGGAAGCAGTGAGAACCATGGGAGGCACCGAGCACAGTACCCGGGAAGTGTAGGGACTCAGCCCAGGTGATCTGTCACCTCTCCAAAGCTGCCCTTCCAAGCCAGTTGTGTGCCCAGAGCTGCCCTTTCCGATACAGTAGCCCATGCCGCCACTTGTGGCTCTCAGGCACTGAAGATGTAGGTGGTCTGAGAGGCACTGGGCCAAAGGTAAAACACACATCTGATTCTCCAAGCTTGCTGCAACATGTCCATAAGTGGTCTTATCACCAACTTTAGTGACTGCATGTTGAAATAATGCTTTGGCCATAGTGGGTTAAATGAATTATATTACTAATATTAATTTCACCTGTTTCTTTATATTATAGTGTAGCTATAAGAAAATATAAAGCCAGATATGGTGGCTCATGCCTCTAATCCTGGCAGTCTGGGAGGCTGAGGCAGGAGGATGGCAAGCTGCTGTCCAGCCTGAATAACTTAATGACGTATTGAAACTCTGACTCAACATAAAAATTTTTTAAAACTGCTGGAGATATAGCTCAGTACTGGGTTCAATCCCCAGTAGTGAAAAAATATATTTATATGATATCTTTATAAATTATATAATGAATAAACTAAATGTATAAATATAATGTATATGTATAAAAAGATAATATATACTTATACCTTATAAAATGTCTATAAATTTCATGTATTTAAACATTATAAAATAAATTTATAGATGTTTATAAATATATATATATATATACATTTCGATGTGGCTCACACTGTATTCTCTTGGGCAGCACCGGCACAGATGCTGTGTTCCATAAGCTCCTTTGTTTCTGCGCTTTGGGTTTGGGGGCTTAATCACTCCCTAGCTGCCAAGCAAGACTTGAAAAAATGCCATCCCTCGGTCCAAGTGCGGGGGGGAGGTTCCCGTGCGCCCCTAGTGGTCAGGTGTGGTAGCAGCCGCAGTCCAGAAAGAGGAGGTGGGGCTGGGCCGGGTGGCAGGGTCCTGAGGATGGACTCCTTCCTTCTCGGCCTGCGGGGTCACCCCAGATTCTTCTGCCTTTATTCCAGAAAGACGCCCCACCCTCTGTTTGCGCACCCTCCGCCTCACCTCACAGGTGTTCTCGGCAAGAAGCAAGCTCACCTACCGGGCAGTCACAAACACAGGTGCAAGAGAAAATGCCACTTCAAAGTCATCTTTAGAAAACCCAGAGTTTCCAGAGAAATGAACAGCAGACATTCACAGACAGGAGAGTGTTCTTTTTTTTTTTTTTCTCCCTCCCAGGAAGTGTTTGTGATTGTTTTGAAAACTGCACAGTTTACTGTACTTCTCCTTCGAGGAGAAGATGGGCATTTATATTCTGACCCCGAGGATGTTGCTTATCCCAAACTCCAGTCAGAAACACCACAAACACAAGAGCAGGTACAGATGGTGCCAGGACAAGGCTGGGAGCTGAGGACGAGGACAGACAGTGGGCTGGCACCTCCCCTTCTGATGGCCTCCATGTCCCCTCTGTGTGTCTGACCCCAAAGGCAAAAAGAAACATGGCATCAGAGACAGTTCCCATGATGGCTGCATTGTGACAGGGTGCGGGGCAGAGGGACAGGGAGGGACCAGGGAGGGAGGGGATCGGAAGGCAGGGCATGAGGGGCACTTTCTTTCAAGTTGCTCAATTCTGTGGTGCCACCCACTGTGACCAGGAAGGGACAGCCGCTGTACCGGAACTGGCTTGGGAAAGCAACCCGTGGTCTTGACCTGAGAGTCTGGCCTGGCCTGCTCTTGACCTTGTCAGGACCAGAAGAGAATGGGAGAAAACAGAGCAACAGGAAGAAAAGGAGGAAAGAAGTTGGGAGAGTGGAAGGGAAGGAACTAGAGCAGGGTGAAGAGAGGAAACAATGAGCCCAGGAGACGAGGAAGAGGTAGTGTGTTGGCAATGAGGAGAGGCCTGGGTGGAAGTGGAGACAGGAGGAGCGACACCGGCGCAGGAAAGTTGTTCTCGTGTGTCCAAAGCACTTCTCAATGGCTGTGTGGGAGGGGCTTGATCCCTACAAGGCAGGAGCTGGGAGCCCGCCATCCCTTCTGGCCTCTCCTGGAACTGCCTCTCAGGACAGACGTGGGACAGACTGTGGACTTGGCCCTACCACAGCAGGGTGCATAAGACAGGGTCACAGATCCCAAACACCCCCCCGGGAGGTAGGCAGCTCAGCCCCTTCCCTGCTGGTGCCTAGTGCACTGCGGGCCTGGGCGAATCTCTGATGCTGTGGGGGACAGCGAGGGAGGGACAGGGAGAGGGAGACTCGCAAACACCTCCCCAAGCTCCATGCTGTGGTCCTGAAATAGTCGCTCCCCACTCAAAGCTCTAGAATGTTCCCTCTGTGCCTCATTAGCACAGGGACACTCTGGTAGTGGTGCTGCCGGGCCACCGAGCTGACACCAGACCCTGGAGTCAGGAAGAGCTGTGCATCCTTAGCTGGGAAAGCATCCTAGGCCTTTCAGTACTATTTGGCCAGTTAGGAAGCAGAGGCCCAGAGAGAAAAAGCCTCTCACACATTATTCTTGTGGCTCTAGATCTCAAACTCGGAGCTCTGGACTCAAAGGCCACTGCCCTCCCATCACCCTATGCTGCTTTGCTAAAGTGAAGCCTTCCTGGCCATCACCTGCTCATGGGGACTTTCTTCCCAGCTCCCCAGGAAAAAAAAGCAAAACCCCATAAGGACCCCAGAGGGACATCCCTTCCACTTGAGGCTGTCCTTCCACATGGAAAGCCCTGAAGGGACCCTCTGGCATAAGCACTGGGTACAGGTGTCAGCCTCAGAGCTGGTCACCCGCATCTCTCACAGCAGGGTGTGAGGTGGCCCTGAGCAGGGAACTCCACAGTCCTCCCCCAAACAAGACTGGAACCAGCCATTCACCGGTCTTGGTACTTGGCAATGATCGGCCCCTACCGGGCCTGCTGGGCACACACGGAGGTAACACTAGCTTACCCCTTACCCGTGTGAATGAAGAAGAGGAGTCTGGGAAATGGGGAAAAATATAAATTCAGAAATAAAAACAACACTGGACCCATAAGCCATCCAAAGCCACTTGCGTGTCGCTACATTTGTGATCAGAAAGGCGGACTCATGCCTTTCCAAACACTCAGGGCTCAATCCAACAGTTGAGGGAGTCCGGATTCCCTGAGCACACCCCGCTGGGTGGTGGGGACAGGCCTGGGAAGGTGACATGGAGGGGGCCGGTGGCTGGGCAGGGGGGACAAGAGGTTGTGGGCAGGGAGACGAAACTGTCCCTGGATGTAAACATCACCATGGAAACTCCACAAGACTCGCCAGTAAAGACCCTTCCCCTTCCCCTCCCACCCCGTAAGGGTGGGAGGGAGGGTGGCCCCGGCTACACGGTGCTCTCCATCACCCACTCAGAGCTGCCGAAGGTCCCCCGGGGCCCCACCAGGTCACTCTCCTCGAAGGGCAAGAGCATGCCGTTGACGGAGAGGCTGCGCTTCGTCCATATGTGCGAGACCCTCCGCGGGGGACTGTAGCCACCAGGGGCCACCCCACCCGCCGCAGCCGCTGCAGCTGCGAAGTCCCCCATATCGAAGGAGTGGCTGCGCTTGGTCTTGCCTTGCAGGGGCAAGGGGAGCAGGCTCCTGGCACGGGCGGCCTGGGGCCCCAGCAGTGGCTCTCGGTCTGAGTGGTGGCCCCTCCCCTGTGTCCCAAACCCTTTCCCGGCCGGAGTCCTGGAGTCAAGCAGCTCCTCCCTCCTCTGACTCTTGAGGTCCAGGGAGGCGAAGGCCCCCATCAGGCGGTCAAGGTTGGGCTTGGGGCGGGTGGCAGGGGGTGGGAGTCTCCAGGGGCCCCGTGCCAGCCCTGCTGCCTCCCCGCTGCCCAGGGAGCTGGAGGAGGAAGAGTCACTGGCTCGGGCCAGGCTGGCACTGAAGTCCAGGAGCTCATTCCGCACCACAACCTTGGGTGGCCCCTGTGGGGGTTGCCCAGCGGGCACACTTCCCAGGGGCGGTGGCTGGGCCCCGTTGGTCTGTGAGTACACGTTGCTGACAGCTGCCGCTGCCATCTTCCCAGGGCCCTCGTGGTTGCAGACCTTGTAGCGCACCATGAGGATGACGATAAAGACCAGCAGAGTGGCCACGATGATGCCCCCGATGACCAGGATCATGGTGCCACCCAGGATCTGGCTGTGCATGGACTGGCACTGCGGGTAGTCGGCCTTGGTGAAGAACTGGGCACAACCCACGATGTTGGTAGCTGTGAGAGTCGTGGCCGTGTCGTCCCACATGGCCAGCACGCACAGGTCGTAGCCCGTCCCTGACACCAGGTTGTTGACCACGAAGGCCTTGTTGGAGGCTGGGATCATCCTGGGAGGGAAGGAGACACAGAGGGTCAGGGATGGCAGAGTGAAAGGACAAGGGGACAGGGAGGGGATGGGCAAGAGCACAGAGGGTACCAGAGACAGATGCAGGACTGAGAGATTAAAGGGTGAGGAGCAGGACTCAGAGCCCCCACCCCACATCTGCTCCCGTAGCACCTCTGTCTCTGGGAGGTGGGTGCTGGAGTCCCACCAGCCCGGCCCCCTGTCCTGTTCCCTGAGATGTGATGGGGCCACAACCCACACTGTGCCCTCTCTGCGATGGACATCTGAGTTGATGCTAGGGCCACCCTGAAGAGCCGGGCCACCTCCCTGTCACCTGCAAGGCTTTCCGCTGCCTCAGGCTGGGACCCTGCTGCTGCAGGGCCATGCTGGGGTCCAGAGGGCACCCTCACAGCTACAGCAGGGGAATCCCGCCCACCCGCACCTTTGGGGGTCTGATGTCCCCCTAACCCCGGGCCTGTTCGCTGTAGCCTGGGTCCTCCAGGAGCCCAGATCAAGTGGGTCTGAGTGCTTAGGGGTCAGACTTCTGCTGTCTGCAGAGAAACTCACCTGGGCCTGAGAGTATTAGGAAAGGGTCCCTGGGCTTCGTTGAGATCTCAAATGTGAAACCCCAAGGGCCAACAAGAGCCTCAGTGAGGGAGCCCACGCTGACGAGATACTGACATCCATCTGTGCACCCAGGGCTGCTGAGGAAGCCACCCAGGAGGGGTCCCAGGCCCGCCCAGGCCCCAAGGCATGAGGCAGAAGAGGCCAGGAAGAAAGAGAGGCTGATCTAGCAAGGACTCTGCAGGCCAGTCCAGCAGGTCCATCCGGGGACTCCACGGCCTCAGCTTACCTATGCGTCATAGCCATCTTGTGAGGCCCTGATCAGTGCTTTCCTTGCACAGAGGATGAATGGCTGGGACTCAGAGAGGCTAAGTGGTTTGCCCGAGGTCACACAGCTGAGATCGCTAGCCTGAGGCAGTGGGGACTTGCACACAATATCTTGGGTCCCCCATCTGGACTTGTGCCTCACTGTGTGACAGATATGGGGTGTGTCTCTTCACCTGATGGCTTGTCTCTTCACTTGAAAGTCCCTGATGACCTGTGGCAGCCAACCTTTTCCCTGGAGCAGCACCAGTAGAATCCTTGGTCAGCTGGGCCACCTTAGAGCAGGGCCAAGCAGCCCTGCAGCTAGGTCCCGTTCCGGCAGGAGCTACGCATGTCCAGAGCAGCGAGAAGACGGTGGCTAAATGGCAGCTGGAAGCGGTGTGCTGGGCTCACTTCGGTCTGCAGCCCAGCCCGTCTGTAGACAGTTCCGCTCTTCCACCTGGCTGGCTCTCGGGGGGTGTGGCTGCACCACCACTCAAAGGGGAGCTGGCGTGCATGTGTGTGCCTGACCAGAGCTGACCCTTGTGGTCCTGGCCTCCTGCCCACACTCTTCACCCCACACCTCCTTGTTCTGGTAGGAAAAGCAGAACAAGTCGGGTCCTGTCAAGGCAGAAGACTCACTCGCCAAGGAACAAAGACCATATTTACAAAGGGACTAATGGCAGCTCAGCACATCCAAGCGTGGAAGGGTTATCTGATCATTTATCTCCACTGCATTCTCATGAAAGCAATGGTTTACAACAGGAAATGAAGCTGGTCCTTCTGGAGGAAGGGTGGCCCAGCCCCGGCACATCTGACCCCCTAGACTGGACATGCTATGGATTAGGGGTTACCCTCTGCACTGCAGGATGCTTACTCATACCCCTGGCCTCTACCTCAGGGGGCCAGAACACATCCCCACATGTGACAACCAAAGCGTCTACCAGCATCACTGAATATTCTGTTTCAAAATCACCCCTCATGGAGACACGGTGGCTCATGGGATTTAGTTGACAAACAGAAGCTGCTGGGGCAAGCTCGCAAGCAGGGACCACACGAATGAGCCGCCCACGATCGCTCGGCCCTCCCGCCCCTCTGCTGCGGGTCTCCGCAGTGGAGCCCCAGGGAGCCCAGAGCCCACGCCACACTGGCCAGCCTTCCTGGGCCAAGACTTGAGCAAGAGGGACAGTGGCCCAGGTGGCAGGTGGCAGAGGACTGGAAATCCACAGCCAGAGGGTCGCAGCCCTGTCTGAAAATCATATTCCTAAAATCCTGGTGCATTTCTTTCCATCACAGAAATCAGTGACATCTCTGTTAGCAGAAAGCGTGAATTGCTATTTTAAGTTGCTCCAATGTGTTAAATTTAATTAAGCTCACACACTCTAAACACAATTGGAGATTGCAATGCCATCACTTACCCCAGAAAAACAAAACAAACTAGGGTACGTGCTCTCTCTCTCTCTCTCTCTCTCTCTCTCTCTCCATGTGGCATTTGTTTATTCGATTTAACATTAGGGGACAAACCCAGGGCTGACCACAGAGCTCTGAGAGAAACTCATGGAGCAGCCTGGTCACCCTACTGTTTGCTCTCAGATCTGTGTCCCCCTTGCACCTGATAGGAAACAAACCCAGGGCTGACCACAGAGCTCTGAGAGAAACTCATGGAGCAGCCTGGTCACCCTACTGTTTGCTCTCAGATCTGTGTCCCCCTTGCACCTGCCCTCTACATGAGGAACTACATTTCCCAGACACCTTTGCAGTCTCAGGCTCTCAGGCCCTCAGGCTGCCAGGTAGAGAGAGAAGCCAGCTGTAGCCCAGAACTCTCTCCTTTTCTTCTCCAGGTGATGCTCCTGGAGATCCCTGTGATCCCAGTCCTGGTCGCATCTTCTGGGTGTTCTTCCAATCTTAGGGTGGGGTGACAGTGGCTTCCTGCTGTTGCTAAGCTCTGTGGTGCTCACAGTCCCCTGGTTGACTTGCAGTGACTCCACTGTCCTTCTGACCCATTCCTTGTACTGAGTTCCCTTCCGAAAACCCAGTGTTGTTTTTCTTCTGACCGGATACCATCTGGCACAGGGAGATCGCCCTCATGTTCACGAGGATGTTCTATGAAGACCATTCTTCATTGTACTTTGGGATAAGATGGTCCCTCTTCAGCCAGCTGCCACATCTTGTCTGAACCCAGTGCAATTCCAACCGGGGACACTTTATCAATCACTGCTCCCTGGGTGAGCCAACTCTATCCCTTGCTAGTGGACCGTCTTCCCCAGAACTTTCTTTCTGGCCTAACAGGACTCATCTGTGAGGCCTGGCTCAGCCCATCTCCAGCCCCAGCTCCCCTCCTCCTTCAACTCGTGGGAGCCCTTCTCCCTGGAGAGTGTTCCCACCACCTCTCCTGAGAGGACAAGGCACATCCTATCTCTCTCGGGGCCCCTCTTTCTGGTCATGAGTTGGGACCCGGAGTGCAGCTGTGCTCGATGTTCAAATGCCCAGTTGGCTAGTGGTGGCCTCTCAGGCACTGGCTGACCCCAAGGAGACCTTTTGGGAGAGGCGTTTTTCTGTAACATGGAGCTCACCATGTGGGTCCTGAAGACCTTTCATGGATGTACATGGGTGGATTGGGTGTGTGTGTGTGTGGGTGTGTGTGTGTGTCCAGGCAGAAGTATTTACGTATGATACACGAGAGTCTGCTCCTAGGCAACGATAGCCACTGCTCTGCCTCCTTCCATGCAGCCCCTCCCTTGGTGTCCCCTGCCGTACTGAAGGGACTCCCTGTATGACCTCCAGAGACACCTGCAGGATAGGCCTGCTCTTTCCTAGTGGCACAGAGTTTGCCACCCAGAATAGGCATCCAGGGTCTCAGCAAATGGGAAAGAGAAAGAGAAAGGAATGGAAAGACAGCGGGAACGGGCAGGGATTGAGAAGGTTCTAGGGATTTCCTCTGGGCCTCGTGGTAACGCCACGGTGACACCCTCGGCCCACTGCCCCTCGACGGCCTCCACCGAGAACTCAGGCCTCGGCTCCCTTGCAGTCAGGTGCACGCAGGGGCCACACTGTGGCAGACGAAGCAGGCACAAATGCCCCCGCAGGCTTCACACAGCACAGGCCTCCCCACGTGCTCCTTCTCTGCCGTGGGACCTCGGTAGTGACCCGGCCCTGACTGCGGCTCAGGGACAAGGCCTGCAGGAGGTGGAGGTGGCCTGAATACCCCTGAGGAAGGTCCAGAGATTGGAAATCGGCCATGGGGGTCTCTGCAGTGCCGCAGCTGGGGAGGCCCCAGGCTCCAGCGCAGGGAAGAGCAGGGGGGAGCTGGTGTGGTGTGGAGTGTCAGTGAGGCGGGAGAGAAAGCCAGAGGAGGAGAGAGCGGCCGGGAAGGCCTTGGGGCTGGAGGAAATGAAGTCCACACTTCCTGAGTTGCTAACAATGCCCTCTTCTACCTTTGCGCTCTGCTCCCTGCCCCAGCACCCTCCACAGGGCACTGTGCCCTCATCCCTCTGAGCCTCCTGTCCCACGCCTGACTGGGAGGCAGGAGTAATCCCTCCACATCACACACAGCAACGCAGAGGCCCCAGTCCACCTGCCTGGAAAGCAGCCACGCCAGCAAGATGAGCTGGTCCCCAGCTCCCACCAGATGGGACAGGGCCCAGGCCGAGGGGCCTCGCTATCCCCACGTTCTGCATCCACAAAGCCAATTGACAGAGGATCAGAAATATTTGGAAAAAAAGAAATGACTGCATACAAACATTCCTTCTTGTCACTGTGCCCTAAGTGGTATCACTGCTGTTTGCATCGCGCTGGCATTGTGTGGGGTGTTGGAGGCCACCTAGAGACGGATGAGGTGCTCGGGTTATGTGCAGATGCAAGATTTCCCCCGAGGGACTTGCACATCTGTGAATTCTATTCTTGGCCCTGCCCTAAGTGGTATCACTGCTGTTTGCATCGCGCTGGCATTGTGTGGGGTGTTGGAGGCCACCTAGAGACGGATGAGGTGCTCGGGTTATGTGCAGATGCAAGATTTCCCCCGAGGGACTTGCACATCTCTGAAAA